TATTTATAAATTATTTTATTTAAATTAATTAATAAATTAATTATCAATAATGAAAAATATGTATCAATTTTTTAGATATACTGGCTACCTTGTTGAATTCTCGTCTATTTTTTGCCCTCTCAATTTCAAGAGTTTTACTTCGATTAATTCGGATCTATTTACGTCGCACACCTGATTTTAATGAGTGCATCTTCTAATTTGAATCTTTTGCATACGTTAGGACTAGAATTTTAGACATACCTAAACGATATTAAATTGTTTACCACTTGAACCGATACTCTTGATTGAATTCTTCTTCTTATTATTTGAATATAAATAAAATCCGGAAAGGCTAGTCTAATTAGAAAACAAGATCGAGGAGGTGGAGTCTTCCATATCAATGGATAAATCACGTTCTAAACTTGGAGGAGGTGTTGCATGAAGGGTGATCCGTGACACCGTTGACGAGACCAGTTTCGCGAGCTTATCAGCAATGGTGTTCGTCGAACGAGGAACCTAACGCGTCAAGTTTCCCATGCACAACAACGAAGAGCAGCGATTGCAAGAATAAGCGAGAATGGACTGTTTCGAGCCAGACTGTCTTCAACCAGTTTGACCGCTTGTAGACAGTCAATTTGGATTTCCAGACGATGAATATCATTGCTCCAAGTAGAGGTGTACAAAAAATTTGAATATCTGAATATAGATTTGAGAAAAATCAGTTTTTTTAAACCGGATCGGATATTTAAAAACCGGATAGTATAACCAGTTTGAGAAAAAATTGGACGATCAGATTTTTGACCGGATAAAAAACAGGGTTTTTATCTGAAAAAAATTTGGTCTGGGGTTTCTAACCGTTAATATAGCTGTTATGGGGTTTTTGTGACCGTTTTTTCTATAAAAAAAATCACAATTTTACCACCCTAAACATGTTTAAATAGGTTGGGGATGTATTTGGTTGATTACAACTTTCTCAAATCTTATTACACAACACTTAAACATCTCTCAAATCTTATTTTTGTAATTTTTTTGTTCATCATGGCTACAAATACCGACCCTAACACGGCTGAATCTTCTATCAAGAGAAACCTTGAAGTCGTGAGAGTGATCGAACACACTCGAAACAAAGATATTTGGATCACTACGATTTATGTGAGATGTCAAATGGCTCGAGGAGGATGCGTTGTAAACTTTGTCTAAAGTTTTATGCACCAAAAGGAAACACAACGTTGAAGAACCAGTTTACAAAATCATGCAAGGCACTTCGCTCAAGATCGGATCCAAGTCAATCGAATCTTACACCGCAATGTGGTGTTTTTGTTTACGACAACGAAAAATTACGAGAAGCGTTTACAAAGTTCGTGATTACAAAAGCATTGTCGTTCGACCACTTTGATGATGAAGATTTCACGGCAACAATTCAACAACTAATGCAACCACGTTATACTCAAGTAAGTCGTACTACCCTTAGAAGAGATGTTATAAAAATGTGGCGTACGATGAGGGAAAAAATGATTTTAGGATTCCAAGAACACAGTTATGGTGTGTTGCTAACATGTAACGTTTGGAGTTCCCCTCATAATACCGGAAATTCTTTTTTAGCAGTTACGGCACATTGGTTAGATCAAGATAATTGGCAAATGATAAAAAGAACAATTGCGTTTGAATTATTCGGTGAGCCGCATACCGGTGCTAATTTATTTACACTTTTAAAAAGGGTAATTTGTCTTTATAAATAAAAAAATAAAGTTTTTTCTATATCCTTTGATAATGCATCGAATAATACAAACGCGGTTTCAAGATTGAAAATATTACTTTCACCGATTTTAGAAGGTGCGTTTTTTCATACTCGTTGCATTGCACACATAATTAATTTATCCATGCAAGCCGATTTGGAGGTTATTAAGCCGATTAGATTAGAATTTAAAGCAATGATAAAATCGGTTCTTTGTAACAACAACAAAAGAATAAATGATTATAAACGATTTTGTAAGTCGGTTAATAAAAAAGCTTTGGGTCCTAATTTTGAATGTTCAACTCATTGGAACTCAACTTGGATGATGATGCATACCGCCTTAAGGCAAAGGGAAACATTGCAAACATTTCACGATCGGCTTTTCGAGAGGGGTCATGTCCCAAACATTTATCTATAGCCAAAATAACCGATTTGCTTGGGGTTTTTTAAAAATGCAACAACTTTTTTATCCGGTGTTTATTACTCTACTAGCCCGTTGGTTCTTAATCAAATATTTTTATTGGCTAACCGACTAAATGAATTTGAATTTGAAACCGAAGTTTTTCAAGAAATTGGTTTTACAATGTAGGAAAAACTTTTAAAATATTTTAAGGAGATTCCCCTCATTTTTACTTGTGTCGCCGCTTTAAACCCAACGTTAAATGTTGGCGGGGTTGAAACACTAATCGAACAAATTGTGTTTGCTTTTAATCTAACCGACGATGAACCCAACTTTGTCCAAAACCAAATAAATTATTTTAACAAATGTTTTTGAGACATGTTTGCAATTTATTTAACTAAATACAGATTAAGTAGTGTAATACATGATCAAATGAGAACGAATGCAGAATCATCTAGTAGACGTCCAAGTAACTAAATTTGTCACTTTTTAACACTCTAGTAAATTCTCAATCCAAACGATCACGTTCTACCACCCCAAGTAGCGAGTTAGGAAATTACATGTCTTGCGATTTTCTATCAAAAATGACATTTGAAGAGTTTGAAAGTTTGGATATTTTGGCTTGGTGGAAAGAAAAAGAAGCGCAATTTCCGATTCTAGCCGCCATGGCCTGTGATTTACTAACCATCCAAGCTTCTACGGTAGCTTTGGAATCCGCTTTTTCTGTTAGTGGCAGGGTTATATCGCAACGGAGATCAAGACTAAGTCCCGAGTCGGTGGAAGTATACATTTTGTTTGAATGATTATTTGGATGGAGCGGCTCGGAAGCAACATATCACCACCCTAGAAGATGCAATTGATGCCGACTTGGAAGCAAACTTACACATTGAAGAAGTCGAACTTGAAATATTTCCTCTAAACGAAGAAGGCGAAGATGATGAAGAAGAGATGGCGATGTAGTTTCTTTTTAAATTTTGTTTCAATTATCGTAAACTTTGTTTCAATTATCGAACTTGTAAGTTTTTAAGTATTTGAATTTATCGAACTTAGAAGTATTTAAGTATTTCAATTATCGTAAACTTTGTTGCAATTGATGACGATGTAATTTTAACATTGTAATATTTAAGTATTTTAATTTATCGTTGATGAGTATCTTGTATATATGCTTTTCACATGCATAAAATATTTATAAATACACCACCACCGGTTTTTTAAAAAAAAATTGGTTTTTTTCAAACCGAAACCGGTTACACCATCCGACCCTCCAAACCGGATCCAAACCAATTTTTTTTTAAATCTGATTTTTTTGGCTAGGTGAAAAAACCGGATCGGTTTTTATCCGATCCGGATCGATTTTTCATCCGACTTTATGCATGTCTAGCTCCAAGCAAGTAGAAGACCTTTGTAAATACCCTAGAGCTCAGCTTCCAGTATCGAAGTGTTCCCGATGTTCTTGCTGAAGCCACACAACCAAACACGATTGGCATCCCTGATGACCACTCCCGAGTAACCATATCCCGTAGTTGTTGTTACGCCACCATCCGAATTACGGCACGTCCAATCCGTCTGAGGTTTGTTCCCGATGTTTTTTGAATACGAATAAAGCCATGAATTGTTTTATTTAATTATGAATTTCAGAATAATTTGTTAAATCGGCTATCATATTGTTCAATCAAGGTTGTCATCTAATATTTGAATGGGCTTCACGCTGAATCTCTTAACTCTAAATATGGGCCGTAATAACCATTGGAATCGGTCAAGGCTCCCAATCGCATGTGCATTAAATAGGGTTTTTGGCCCAATAGGGCAAACAGGAAAAATAGGGCAAGTAGAATTTTATTTTGGGATCTTATGTACTTTTTACAGTGTTGATAGAACTCGTCGTCTTGATATGCCAATTTTAATAAAATATATTTTTTATTAAATTTTATCATATCGTATAATTAATTTGAATAAATTTTTTTTAATAAAACTCGTCATCTCAAAACAATAAATTTCAAGTCATGTAGCAAATATCGTAGATTATAAAACAATTTATACCCTATTGAACTAATTAATTAAACGATTTGCCCTACTGGGCAAAAAAAAACCCATTAAATAGTCATTGTCCCTATTGGGGCTTTAATTGGACCAAATGCCAGCTGAGCGTTTAACTAATTAGCTTATTCGAGCTAGATCCTGTCCTAATAAGACACCTCCAAGATCTGTCAGTTTGAAACATTCAGATCTCACCAAATTAAATATATAAATTGTGAAAAAGTTGTCTTTTGATTGTTAATATATTATTATGAGTGAATCAATAAACTTTTTTTGAAAACAAATATTATGTATATATAAATTTATTATGTGATATATTAATAAAAAAATATAATTTTACGGATGATATTAATTTGATTCTGAGTACTATATTTATTCTTTAAAAATTTTAAAAATACTTGCAATAATCTTAAGAATGTTTATGAAATTTTCTTTTTACAAACAATATTACAATAGTAATCCACGTATCTACACATTCAACAATAACACATTGTCTCCATAAAATCTGACCGATCATAATGGCTATATCAAAATATTTTATTCCTTTTGTTTTGTTCATTATCCGAATATTCATTTCTCTCGGCCAAAAAGGATTCATTTTAAGAACCTAAGATAGAGGCTAAGCAAGTTGCATGAGCAGATTTTTGTCGTTCACCAACACTAAACCAAGCAGGAGAAGTTAAGTATGTGATAACAGAGTGGAAAAACTAAAGGCGACAAGTCAATTATGTTTTGTGCCGGTGGTTAAGAAAGTAAGTTTTCTAAGATGCTTTACCCAATCATCTCAAATCTCCGTTTAATTTCATCATTACGTAATTCTACTATTCAAAGTAAAGATTAAGCCCTCCTCTAAGATAGACCATCATTGTAGTTGGAGAAGAAATCACTGCAAATGAATCTACACCTAAAACATGAATTACAAATTTACAAATGCTGATATTGATTTCATCTCTTTCTACAATAACAATGAAGGTCATCACAGATAAACATTTATATTAGCATGTTTTCATTTTTAGTTACCATAGACCTTTCAAACTACTAGAAACGCTCAACTGATCAGAATTAGCCACCGACGACGACACTCCGTTCCCACACTTAGCCACCGTCCTCACGCTCTCAATCAAAGCCTCCGTTCTCGACTCCTGCGCCAAGATTTCCGCCAACTGATCCGGACTTATCACCAGCTTCACCTTCCATACACCGCTGCTGTTATACCTAGGTAACACCTCCGCCGTCTCCGCCCTCTTCAACACCCTCTGCTGATCGAACGACATTCGATACGGTGTAGTCATGGACGAAGACGTAGGCGTAATATCGTTCCTTTTGGTGATGCTGGTGTTGATAGGGAGGAGATAGTAGAGGCGGCCTGCATGGAGCTCCTCGTTGTGGAGGAGGGGCTGGGAGAGCAAACCGGGTGTTCGGTAGATGGCGTGGCCTGGGAACTCGTTGGTAATGCACTCGGCGGTGATGGGTGCGAATAGCTCCATGATGCCACCACTGGATGTAACCACTCTCACCATGTCTTCGACTTGTGCGAATCCTTTAAAAACACAATTACCCATGTCTGGTCTCGTAGGACGCAATCTTGTTCGCGCTGCTGTTGTTGTTTTTTATATGTGGGATGGAATGTTGAGACCTTTGCGGTGAAATATCAGAGGGAATGGGATTTCTTGGGGGTTTCGGTTGGTGCCGATCCTTTCCTTTGCCACCCCAAAATCTAAAATCCCGTGCTTTTATAGTGAATGGCCCCCACTTTCCTTTGCTTTGCTTGTAATGTTAGAGAAAGAATGCACCGTTGATATAGGAAAAGTAAAATGCCAAAATGTCTCAACGTTAAACAAAAATAATTATATTATTTATGCAACCATTACACATATATACCTTTTTTTCATTGCTTTCGACACTTTTTTAAAAAAAATCAACTCGTTAACGAGTACATTTAGTTGATTAATTACATTATTTTTATTTTTTTATATCCTCTAGATAATAATATGATTAAATTTAGAATTTGTCAAAAAAATTAAAACTCTTCCACTAAAATATAATCCTACAGTTAATTCAAACTAATAAATAATTATTGATCGAGTTTAACTCAATTGATATTTTATTGAAATATAAAAGAACGTGTGGTCAAACATGTTTAATATATATCAGTCGATGAACGAAGAAAAATTTAAATAGTATAAATATTATATAAAAAAATATCATTTAATTATTCTATGTACTATACTCTTATTTTAACTTCTATAATTTTTCAAGTTATCCCATGTATTGTTGTTTTAACTTATTAATTTGTTATTATTTTTTCTTTAAAAAATGAGTATAAACTATGTTAATCAAACGCATATATATAATCAACAGAGTTTATTTAAATTGTAAGCAATTTGATATCTCTTAAGTAAGGTCTTAGGTTTAAGTCCTTGTGTATGCAGAAAATCCCCGCTGGGAGACTCACCTACCAAAATCAGATGTACGACACATGTCGGTCCAAATTAGTTAGGACGAGACCTTATAATCGAAGTGCAAAAAGAAACATATATATGAAATTATAATTTTTACTTTTAACATATGTAATGAAGAATAAAATAATTATACATATAAATGATCATTTAACTATAATACTACTATATAATTATTAAAATGTAATAACTAGCTAATTATTTTGTTTTGTTACAATTACTTTGTATTCTCCAAATACTACCGTCAATAATATCTGAACTTTTAATCTCAAAGCTTGGGGGCATATTAAATTCATTGTTAAGTGGAATATTAAGGCAAGCGTTGGTTGAATTGACCGCATGTATGCGTTGGAGATGATGATGATGGAGGGTTTCATGGTCAATAGAGCCATCAAGTGTGTTAACTCCTTTTAACATGAAAAGAAGAGAAGGGGTTGAACATATTAAATTATGCTCAATCATCAACATACAACACCGTTTGATATAGACTCTCAACACAAGAAATATAGACTGTCAACACAATAAATATAGACTCTCAACCATACAACATCGTTTGATATATTTGGCTAAGCCAGTTTTTTTTTTTTTTTAAAATAAACCAAACCACGAGAGATTTTATATATGAGGTAGATAAAAGATTCATCTTAATTAATTTGGATCGACTCGCGTCGTACATTCGAGATTTTGCTTAAACGATATCAAGTTTATTACCACTTGAACCAACATCTATTAATATTTATTGATATTTTAAAATATTATATATACATATATTTAAATATACTTTGATTAGAGTCTTTTGACCGACTTCACTGGTTAAAAAGATTGTTGTTCTCCTTAGAAATTCCTAATTTAAACAGTTGTATCTATAGAGACTAAGAAAGATTATAGACGAATAATATCTTCTAATAACATACTCTAAAACAATTCAAACAAATTATGGCATATATCAATATTAGGGGTGTTTATTTTTCGGTTTTAACCGAATTAACCGACGAAATCGAATTAGTTCGATTAATTCGGTCGGTCACCGAATGAGTTCGGTTTGGGAACGTTTAATATTTTTTTTAATATTCGGTTAATGGTTAATTCGATTCAAAGTCGGTTAATTAATCAAATTAATTAAAATTATTAAATATATTGTATATATGAAATACATATTTTAAGCTCAAATATATTAAGAATTAACACTCAATTATTTTTTAAATACACTAGGCTCATTAAATTATTAATACCTAATTAAATTTTAATTTAAATAAAAAATACTTATATTATATTAAATTTAATCAAATTATAATTTTTTTTTTGGAAAATTCGATTAACTGACCGAAATAATCGAACTTTACTCGGTTCGATTAATATTTTTTAAAAAAATTCAATTTAATTAACGGTTAAAGAAGAAAATAAATCCGATTAATTCAGTTAATAAAAATTTGATTCGATCGGTTGTCGAATTAACATATAAACACCCCTGATCACTACCATAGCAACTACTCGGGTGGAAAGGGTTACGTTAACTACTTGCTCCCATGATAGCCGAACCATTGGTTAAAGCGTCATTTAACTAAGTCTAAAAGATTTACTAGTACATGTTTACTTAACTATGAAGTAATTTTTTGTCTTCTTTTCCAACTTAGTTCAGTGTTTGAAACCCATTGATATTGTGGGAAAATTACTAAAAAGTTGAAGCTAGGCCGGTAATATGAGCGGATAAACCAAACTCAAAATCATTGATAGGCGTACGTCAAGTCAAGAAAACTAATTATAACCAACGGTTCAAGCTTTCAACTTTGGGCCCCCATCAATTATAGTGACAACATTTTCGAACATTCAATTCACCTCGTTCGTTGATGATTTGTCCTCTGCAATCACTATCAAACTACCTATAAATCTTGGTGGCTGACCTCAGGTGGGTTGTTAGAATTCAATGCCGCCTCCTACATATCATGCATGCTTCATACTCAATAAATTCTCACTTCATTAAGTTCCAGTTTGGGCTGCTTTGAGTGACACTAGTTTTAGTATGGGCCAAAATCATTGAGATAGCTTTGCCAAACAATGTGTTGGCCCATTAGTCCAAAGAGAGGGAGAAGTAATGTGTTGGATGCAAATATTGATGCCGGCTTTCTGATTCTTTGATGATTAAAAAAATATGTACTGATTTTCAAACATGTTTGGTATGAATGATGAAAAAAAGGGAAATTTCATATTTAGGGGGGTTTACTTTATTAATAAATGAAAGAGATGTTTGAGACTCGGTTTGTCCAACACTTGCCATGGCCAACTCAGGCTGGCCTACTTTTGAGTGATTAGGAAATCACAGAGAATCTTCGAGGGAAATCTGGGCATAGGTTGGCTGATTATTTCAGGGTAAACTATGTTATTCATCATTTGGTTATGGTTTTATTTATATTTTGGTCACTAAAAAGCTCAATTAAGATATCAAGATAGAAAACTTATTGATCTTATTGATGGTAATATGTGTTATATCAACTATACGTGATTCATCCATTTTATTTTGGACAAAGAGTTATAATTTATTATTTTATGGATATTCAAAACGATAAGACGTACTTGAAAAGGAGAAAAAAACTTAGAGAATAAGAAATATAAAGGAAGATTGTCCTCTTCCCCTTGTGCTTTGAGACTCCTATACTTGTCCTTAGTAGCATGGGTATCGAGTTCAATATATGTCAGTTATAGAATAATGATTAATATCAATGAGTTGATAAAGCGAATTGACGAGATTATCATGTGACAGAATATATAGGTGATGATTTTAACAATAGTCAAATCAAAATTTAAAAAATAAAAAGTTCAAAACTATTAGTTAAATGAAAATTTGGAATTGTTACCAACAATCAATTAGTCTAGTGGGATAAGACAATATATCCCTTAAGCAAAGTTAGAGATTTAAATCTTGACAATTACAAATGAAGCAAAATGGGTTGAGAGGGTCGTCATTGCTTCTGCAGTACCTGATTCGAATTAGTCGATCAATAGATTGAATCCAGTTGTTATTAAAAAAATTGGAATTGTTCTCCTCCGAAGAACTCCTAAAATTTCAAAAGTATTAACAATAAGAGGATGTGCAACAGATTTAAGTCACTCATTTTTGAATAAGTAACCATAATGATAATACAACCATTTTTTTATTGATATAATAACCTATTTAATTGTAAAGTTTTATACATTTTATTAATTTTATCATACTCTTAAACGGTTCAAAAAAAATCAACCCTAAGCATTTATGAATTCTATAAATTTAAAATTAAGAATAAACTAAAAAAACTACAAATATCAAGAATTAAATTTATAATTATATTAATTAAAAAGTTAGTGATTTGAGTGATAAATTTGATAATGTTACTGCCTTAATTAATTTGTTTGGTTTAGTGACCAAATAAAAACACGGTCATAATTCAATGGTGAAGAGAGTAATTTACCTTTGCTTGTATGTCACAGCTTGTAGAAATAGCGTGTTGTATAGCGGGACTGACGAATGGCAGGGATTACAAGGATTTGTTAGGTCCCTGATATTTTGTCATAGAGGTGACCGACTCGAAGGATGTTGGCGTGGCGGTCGTGAAAAGCGTAATTTTGACGGCCTCTCCCAATTCGCAGGTTCTAACAGCTGGACCCCCCAGCTCCTCAGATACTTTGTCGGTGCCTTATCCTCGCAATATTCATATTTTTGTGCATCGACAAATAAGATAACCTCGTTTAGAAAAATGCATATACTTGTCACTTTTGACCAACAATTACATAAATAGATTACTGGATCATGTTTCACTGCTCTGACGCATTCATCCCACTCTCCTGTACCTACCCTACGATTTCCTCCATCCAACAGTCCGTAATAATTAAAAGAAAAAAGCGATGAAGCAAAAACCGGAGATAATAATAATGAAAGGTCTGATCACTTACATGTGCGAGTCTCTGACTCTTGACCGTCTGCCGGTTTTTTATTTTCTATTTATTTGTACAGCCTTCATGTGGATGGGTAGTACGACTCAATGTCCAGCTCGGCTTCCTTGTCTCCAAAGCCAGCTGCCAACGACATCGTCCTTACACGATTCTTACGGCTCGAATTTTTATGTTACTTT